CACCCGGCCAGCTACACATGTCACCCATGCCATCCTCCCCAGAGTGCACCCGGCCAGCTACACGTCACCCATGCCATCCTCCCCAGAGCACACCTGGCCAGCTACATGTCACCCACTGCCATCCTCCCCAGAGCACACCCAGCCAGCTGCACACGTCACCCATGCCATCCTCCCCAGAGTGCACCCAGCCAGCTGCACACATCACCCATGCCATCCTCCCCAGAGTGCACCTGGCCAGCTACACATGTCACCCATGCCATCCTCCCCAGAGGGCACCCGGCCAGCTGCACATGTCACTCACAGCCATCCTTTCCAGCTAAGGGGCCCTGATGTTTGCCAAAAATCCTAAAAACTGCAGGAGTCAGGCTAAAGAAAATAAAGTGCTGAAAGAAACTGAGCTAGCGCTAGAAACAGAAAGGATATTTTTTTTTTAGACTGAGTCTTGCTCTGTTGCCCAGGCTGGAGTGCAGCGGCGCAATCTCAGCTCACTGCAACTTCCGCCTCTCATTCAAACCATTATCCTGCCTTGGCCTCCCGAGTAGCTGGGACTACAGGCACGTGCCACCATGCCTGGCTAATTTTTTGTATTTTTAGTAGAGATGGGATTTCACCATGTTAGCTAGGATTGTCTCCATCTCCTAACCTTGTGATCCGCCTGCCTCGGCCTCCCAAAGTGCTGGGATTATAGGCGTGAGCCACTGCACCTGGCCCAGAAAAGAATTTTTAAAGTTATAACTATCTTCAGAAGTATTCAAGAAGATATTGCACTTATGAAATAAAGAATGCTACTAATGAAGACAACCCGGACATTAAAAATGCAATTGCTGGCATTAAAAGAAGACATTCATTAACATGATTGAAATATAAAGTTAAGAATATCTTCTAGAATGTAGAATGAAGAAACAGAATCAACCCAGGAGATTCTATATCTGGCTAACTAAAGTTCTAGAAAAAAAGAAGAGGGTGAAGAAAGTGATGGAGTTGTCAGAGACAGCCTTTAGGAAAACCTCCCAGATCTCATCAGACTGAAAGGACGCTGAGACCAAGGAGGGTGAGAGCAAAGGAAAGTTACCTTCAAAGTGCGCAGGAGCTGCGGCAGGCTCGGATTTCCCATCGGCAGCCCTGGATATTGGGAGGTAGGAGGGTTCAGTTCTGAGGGCGAGTTGAAGGCAGTCTGCCTGCAGGACAAGGCTGCCGGCCACTGCCGTGCACAGCTCCCACGTGTCAGTGGCTTCCCGCCATGTTGAGCTAGTTCCCATATTAAGTGGAGACCACGAGGTTGAACGCTCCTGTCTGGCAGGTACCCCTTGCAGCACACACAGGGGGAAGCGACAGGGAGGGGCTGCCCTGACCTGTACTCACAGCCCATTGGCCAGTGCCAGTAACCTGACCCAGCCTCACTGAGCCTGTGCTCACATGTGCTCACAGCTCATTGGCCAGTGCCAGTTACCTGACTCAGCCTCGCTGGAGCCCGTGTGCACGTGTCCTCACAGCTCATTGGCCAGTGCTGGTCACATGACCCAGCCTCGCTGGACACATGCTCACGTGTCCTCACAGCTCATTGGCCAGTGCCAGTCACATGACCCAGCCTAGCTGGACCTGTGCTCACGTGTACTCACAGCTCACTGCCTAGTGCTGGTCACATGACCCAGTCTGGCTGTCAGTGTGGGACACGTGGGAGCCCTGGACGAGGGGGTGTCCCTGGGGTGCACTGGAAAGCCAGGACTCAACCAGATGCAGGAGATCAGAACTGGAAGTGGTGGCTCCACCCAAAGATGACCGTAGGTGTCGTTCCTAGAGAGAATCCAGCCCAGATGGTCTGGGGTCAGGGAGCGCATGGAAGGGGGATTCGGGGCCGAGGAGCCCACGGAGCACAGAGTGTGTCCAGGGACGCGCTGAACGAGTACGGAAGCACAGACTGCAGGAGACGAGGAAGGCAGAGACTCCGCAGCCAGCCCAGGACGGCCTTCCTGCGTGGCAGCAACCAAGGCGGACGAGACTGAGAGCCCTAGCGAGCAGGAGCAAGGGGCTCCTGGGATGGGATGATGGGAGAGCTGGGAGCGTTCTTGCGTGCAGAGCTGATGTGTTTTCTTCCTCTGGGAAGGAGGGAAGGAGGGGAGGACCAGACCCAGGAGGGGACAATGAGAAACATGTTGAAAAGCAGCTGTACGCAGATCACAGGTCCAAGTACGAAGTAGGTGAACCATGCTGCAATTTTAAGCATGAAAGGAGAAGGCTTGACTGGCATGGGGGACTGTCCCAGGGATGACGTGGCAGTCGGTCTTCTTGTCCCGACGTGGAAATCACCCAGAAGGGTGGTGCCATAGCCTGGCCCCTGGCTCTGGGGACCGACATTACCATAAGGTCAGGACCACAAGCTACTCGTGATGTGTCACTTGGAGAATTGCCCTGTGGCTGAGCCCAGGGAAATCTGTCTGGGTCCAATGGTAGGCACGTATGCTGGTGTTTATTAGTGGAGGTACAACCCGGGCCATGTGAGGGAGCGGGGAGAGGGGAAGGAGGGCAGAGGCCCTACGTGTCCATCCCACACCCTTCACCGTGGGTGAAGAGGCGAGGCCAAAAGCCACCCAGCAAGAATCAGAGGAGCTCCCAGCAGCACCCCTTGAGGGGGACAGTCTCCCACAGACCCTAAGCAGGAGCAGCTCTGCTTTTGGGTGCGCAGACCAGATGCAGGCAGGCAGCCTGGTGCTCCCAGGTAAGCAAGACCCG